TAAGAATTATACTTACCCTTATGTTTAGCTTAAGATAAGTTATAAGTTAAATATTGTTATAATAGCTACCTACATTCATGTTAAAACAATAAATATTTTTTATTTTTTTTTATTTATTTATAATATATACCGTGTGGTGACGGATTAAGAATACAAATTGTCACCACCCCAATTCATCCCATGGGTGTCGTAAGAGCCGACTAAGGGAGCAAACTAAGCAGGACAACAGCACTGCAAAGAGAAGGAAAACTTGAAACAAACCCTATACCAACCCCTCTGGCCAGCGTGGTATAGTAGGCCAAAACCTCCTTTCTAAGGAGAGGCCTATGTCCAGCAGTGGACTAGTATAGGCTGTTGATGTGATGATGTGATGATGTGAATATATAACAAAATATAATCTCTATAACTTATTTGGTATTAGAATATATAGATACATACTACCTAAATTTCTCAAGAGTTTGCCAGATAACATAGTTAATAAATACATAACAAACCAAATTTATTTGCAATCGATGACAAAACACCTACTACCACTAAATTATTTTCATAGTGGTAAGAACCTATATTTTATAAAATAAAGAAAGTGTTCACCATATCGCATAAAAACCTCAGCGGTTTTTTTAGCGAGTAGTTTAGGTGAAATATTGTGTATAAGTTGTAACCGTGTGCGTGTTGTAAGCGGTCGCCACGCCACTTTCTACTACGCCGAGTGTTGTGGGTTCAAACCCCACATGGGACGACATTTTGTGTGATCCACAAATTGTTGTTCTGAGTCTGGGTGTTCTTTGTATCCGTTTCATGCATGTTTGTAAAGTCCCCCGCGACACAGGATATATTTCTAATGATTTTGTACTCTACAAAATCAATACCTATACGAGTATCTTAATCATTAGCCTTATGGTGTCAACGGCTTCTTAAAAAGCAAAGGCATTACAAAGTAAAACTAAAATAATAAGTCGACAAAAAGTGTCATAATAACGGTTTCGATAAATGCTACAATCAAAATAATATTAGGATTATTAAATAAATAAAAATCGCTTCACAAGTAGGTCAAACTATACATAATTGAAAACGAAATCCGCCTTCCGCGAACATTATGGAACAGAAATAAATGTACCAATTTATGAAATTTGAGGTAAAGGTGGCTTCTAACATCGAAGCATTTCTATGCCTTGCCAGTCACAAAATATGAAGCGACTGTTTGCTATTCTCATTGTGAACAAAAGCGGCAGTACACACCCAACCAATGTGGGACAAAACCAACATCCTTCACATCACCTCACGTATTTATAATCCCACATTCACTTCCTTCTTTTTGTTCAATATTAGTCTAAGGAACTTAAAATTTGCAAAAGGGATCGTTTCGAAATACATAATTTAAAAGAATTGCCTACCTGCGTAACGGGACCCCTCGTACGTTCCGGCTTAATTATTTAATTCATAAACTGAATGGTATGTTGTTGTTAATTTAATGTTTACTTACTGCGAAACTTTGTAGTATTGTTTACGTTAGGTAATCATAATTACTAAAGTAAAGTTGAGGAGAATATCAAATATTGGTGTATATTACATATACACATATAGGCTCACACCTGTATCCCGTAGATTGTATGAATCACCTAAATTTTACCTATATATTTATATTACCTTTACTATATTTTGGTCCCACACACGCGATAAAGAGCAAGTCTATTGCTGTCTACCGAGCTCTTGGGAATATGTAATAATTAGTAGTAAAAGGAGAGACAAGGACACAGCAACCCACTAGCAGGTCAGGGTTGCATATTAAATCACCTGTTGGCCAGTAAGTCCGAGCGCCATAACGGATAAACTACATACAGAATTGTCTTATCTCCCCTTCTTTATCTTCTCCCTTGATAAAAAGAAGATAAGAAGATAGAACCGAAGAAATATTTTTACGTCAATCACACGTTTACAGAAGAACACGATAAATGAGCATTGCTAACTTAGTGACATTTCGTTCTGGTTCTGGCGTAAGATTACCAAAGTTCTGCCGTAATTCTACCATACTACCAATGTTTATTAAAAAAATAAAGAACACAATCGTAAGCATATTTTAGACACGTTTTGGTACTTTCTTATGAAAATTCATTATTAAAAAGCACACGCAACATCACGCCGAACGCACGAGTTTATCCTCCTAAATGACTTCCCGCGTAGTACCCATTTATGGTAAATAATACCGTGATATAATAATATAATACCCCTAATTAAGTGAATTTCTGTAATAAAAAAATTAAAGCGATTGAAGCGTAGTCTTTGAAACAAATGCCAACGTTTTAACATTTTGCACACACATACTTAGAAAGACAATGTGCATATTTAAGAGATAGTTCACGCGTGGTTAGTGTCGTCGGATAGTTCACAAATTTCACGTTTCTAAGTGAACTTCCAGGCGAGCCGCAGCTATCCCGCTACTGTCACCCGCCCCGCCTGCCGACTCGCCATCGCGCCAGAGCGTCCCGGCTCACCGCCAACAAACAATGCATCTCCAGGAAATACTAAACATTCCCAGTTTTTAATATAAAAGGTTTTTATTAAGAGTAATGTAAAAAAAAATCGATTGTAACCAAACCTGCGATACAGTTTGTGGCAGTGCGAGTTATACGGAATGTATACAAAAAAAAAATTAGGAATATACGATTTATTAGCTTCTTCTTCTTCATCAGTAAAGAGATAAAATACACTTGCTGTTTCAATTATAGAGGTGATTGTGAAAATTCGTAAGATGAATCCAACATTGATAAAAAAATTTGTTTCGTCTTACTAATATGGGGTAATTCAGTGCTAAAGTTAGAATCCCTTAGAACTGGAACTTTCCAGCTGTAGAGGATTGTCACTTATCCAGGTCGCATTTACAAAGTTTTACTGTAGGTATTTTAAGAAATTAATTGTTAGGTATAAAAGACTTCTTTTTATTATAATTTAAACACAATATAGCATATTATTTAGCATGACAGTCAATTGCAACATTGTGTTCATAGTTATTTTTACACTAGAAGTTCGATCGTCCGCACAATGCATTTTTTCTTTTCAACATTTGTCGGGATTCCCACGAGCGTTATAATTATCTCTAGATACTCACTCATAAATAAACCTCACAAAGAGGACCTTACTTTTATGTCTTCAAATGCTAGTTTCTCTTTATAAGTATATATACTGGTAAAGAAGCAATTCGAAAAACATTGTATCATTGAAACTCTCTCCGTAAACAAGGAATGATAACGATGACTTCCAAATCATTAAGGCATTGGGCCAGTTGGGAGTTCCTAAAATTGTAGACGAAATCTGCTGTGTCTTAGCTTTTCCAGGGAATGACTGATAACCAATTATTTGCACATGAGCAATAAATGTTTAAAGTGTAAGGCCTAATTAAGTTACCGTGTAGATCAGGCGAAAGTTATTTGTACATGTTTCAACCTTGTAAAACCTTACTTGGAGATAAGTATATCTATGACTACGATAACTAAATTAGCTTAGATACTTATATTTTGTTTTGCTTTCTTTCATTCATTGCTTTCTCACAAAGTTGTGCCTCAAGGACTCGATAAAAAGCAGAAAGCAAAATACAGATATAAGAAATAAGGAGTGTTGTTTACAAGACATATTATAAACTTTTTATTAAATTAAAGGAAATCCTTTTAGTATTAATATCACGAAGTAAGGCGACAGATGTGGTGGATACAACCAGTAGCAAATTTCGCCGTTTCAAAAACAGTTCAACATAATGTTTGTATGAAACGTGGTCTTTGTACTCGTACGTTATACGTACACGTAAGTCATTGTTTGTTTGTTCAATTTATGATTATAAGATGAACAAAGTCCAATTATCGTGAAATTTAAAAAAAATGGATTACTTTCAAACGAGCGTAATTGCTAGTTTAAAATATTTTAAGCGGAATCAGTTGAAATTCTCATTTAAATGTTCAACAGAAACAAATAGGCATGGTGCCTATACTCTCAAATCCTATTGTTATTTGGTATTTCAAAAAAACTATATTTTCATTTGTTTCAACTTTTTCACTTTCTAGAATCCTTTTACTAATTTGGATCTTTCACCAACTCGACATAAGAGACTGGTCACGCATGTGTCCAGTTGGTGAAACTCAAAATTAATATCACTTATTATTTTGTCATCATTGGACAAGCCAAGATTTTAACACGTGTGCCCACAGTAAAACTTAATTTAAATCATTTTTATGTTTTCGCCAGCTGGACACATCCAGTTTTTTTTTTTTTTAATATTTGCTGAACTATAATGGTACGAAAATCCATGAAATGACGACAGTTTCAGTTATTGGTATAAGTTATTGATTACGTTGAATAAACGAAACAAATGATAATAACGAAACGACGTTTTATTAATTTTGTGGAGTTATAATTTCATAATAATTTCCACGAATAGAGCTTGAAAATTTTTGTCACAAATAAAATCACGCACATTCCAGAAGGTTCGGTTTAGTAATAGTACTGGTTGGCACGGAACAATAAGTTCTATACCAAAACGCATAAGATCTAAAATATATTGTCGCGCGATTATCTTGTTTACATTCAAAACGAATTTGTATTATCAGAAGCGTTCTGCGTTGCGGTTCTGGTAGGAATTGGAATTTGCTAGAATTATCTTTTACGAGTATTATAAATACGGACACGTCTTCTTTGGAGTTAGTTTAGTTCGAGCTACAGTGCGATAAACATCGAAGCGATTGAAGTGAACAGTAGTGTGACCCAGCGACCTTGGCGATCATTCCGGACTATTCTTGAGTGTTGTGTGAACGTTTTTAAATGTAGGTATAAGAAAGTCTCTTTAGTCAGCGAGTGAGTGAAGACCAAGGCTCAACGTGCTGCAGGAACAACGGACGTGAAAGAAGGCCCCACCCACCGGTTCTGCACACCAGACTACGTTCAGATCTAAACAAGCTCCAGTTGGTCACATCACTACGGCCTTAAACACGCCAGACTTAGTGGGTCTATTAAGGATGGTTATGAAAGAGCAGCTAGACAGCAAGTTCGCTGTTATACAATATGGGCAAGAGCAACTAGACAGCAAGTTTGTGGCTATACAAAAACAAATGAAGGATGACCAACAACTGCTTTTATTCGCCGTCAGCGAAGTGAGTGGTGCTGTAGATAAACTACGCAAAGGTCTAGACGTAGTTGGGGAACGGGTCACCTGTCTAGGTTTTGATGTGAACAGCGTGAAGACTGCGCTCACGTAATTGCAGAAGAGGGTAGCGCGCCTTGAAACATTAAGTGTAGCAGCAGCTGGTTCTGGTGTAGTTGGCATAGTACATGCACCCAACGTGAAAGTACTCTCCGACGACGGCAGTACTTCATGGATTGCGTACTATCAGCAATTCCAGACTGTCACTACGGTAAATGGTTGGACTGACAAACAGTGCCTGACTGCCCTCACTGTCGCCCTTAGGCGGGCAGGCGTTGACAGTTCTAGAGGCACTGCCTAGTTCGGGAAGCGAATATAAAGAGCTGTTAAACGTATTCCACGCAAAGCTACGTGATAGAGTTCAACGCCCAGGAGAAGGACTACAGCAATGGACGTTGGAAATTGAGAGACTTGTACGGAAAGCGTATCTTTCGGCCGACGCGAGAATGGTAGAGTCGATAACGGTGCAGACATTCGTTGCGGCGATGCTTAACCACCAGACCTCACTAAAGGAAGCACTATCACATGGCTTGGAAGTAGAAGCGGTTCGACAGGATATTCGGCCCACCAGAAAGCTACATAAAGTATCAAAAGATGTAAAAGAAGTCAAGGAGTATCACTTGCAGATAGTTGTACCAAGAGCTAAGGTGCCAGACGTCCCCGGTAAAGTACACGATGGAGTTTCAGGGGGCCACCTTATCGTCATAAGGACACTAATAAAAATACGCGAAAGGTTCTACTGACTTAATTGTCGGCAAGATGCACAAGACTGGTGCCGTAAATGTACTACTTACTTGAACTGCTGTAAAAGGCGGTCACAGTCACGGAGCTGACGGAACCTGCGGCTGTACAATGTTGGTGCACCATGGGAACGAATTGCTGTTGATGACGTACGACCGTTCCCTTTCAGTGAGTCGGGGAACAAGTAATTCATGGTTGTTATAGACTACTTCACCAAGTGTCCAGAAGTATTCGCCATACCTAATCAAAAAGCAAATATAAAGGTCACGACGAAATTGGTCGAAGAAGTGATATGCCGGTTTGGCGTGCCCTTAGAAATCCATTCAGATCAGGGCAAGAACTTCGAGTCACAAGTGTTTCAAGAAGTATGTAGAATTTTGGTATTGCATAAAACTCGAACCACCGCATACCACCCCCAATAGGATGGAATGGTAGAACGATTTAATTAGACGCTCGAGACAAATCTGGCAAAATATTGGACACTCAACAACGTGACTGGGACAAGCACATTCCGTTGTTCCTTCGCGCCTACAGATCCGCGGAGCATGAAACACAAAAGCTACTCCCGCATACGTGATTTTCGGTGGAGAGCTTCGAATACCAGTAGACCTACTTACGGGAGAACCTCACACAGTTATTGACGTATCTGATCTACGGGAAAGAATGCGAGAGATACACGCCGTGGTTCGGGAAAATGGTATACACGCGAGCGAGAACATGAAAACAAGATACGACCGGCGTTCCAATTGAAACAGTTCTGAAGAAGGTGCACGGGTTTGGCTGCATAACCCGACCCATAGAAAAGGAAAGTCCCCTAAATTACATACCAAGTGGGAACGTCCATACAAAGTGATTACCCGGATGAACGACGTGACCTACAGGATGCAGCGACAACCAAGAGGGGCAGTCAAAGTGGTGCACACCGAACGCCTGGCGAGATATCGTGCCAGCAGATAAAATCACGTCACATTGAAAATCACGCATTTCCGGGAACCGTTTAGTAATGGTGCGGATTGGCACGGAACAATAAGTTCTACACCAATACGCATAAGACCGAAAATAAATTGTCACCCCATTATCTTGTTGACATTCGAAACGAATCTGTATTTTTCAGAAACGGACGGTTCTCGTATTGATTGTAATTTGCTAGAATGATCTTTTACGAGTATTATGAATACAGACACGTCTTCTTTGGAGTTTGTTCATTTCGAGCTACAGTGCTATAGTATCTTCCGCCGATACTGGCTAAAGCAGGAGACAGGCAGGAGACTGGCTAGGGAGGCGCTCTAAAACTGGTGATACTACAAACGATAGCTTATTTACGGTTTGTTTCGATTCTTCAAATATTGGGGCAGACGGTATAAAGGACATCTTCCGTACTATCATCCGCATAGCAATGGATACTACTAGCTCGCAACATGTCATTGATATGCAGAAGAAACCGTGTGGGTGATGGCACACAGCCTTGCGGGACACCAGCATTTACAGATTTCAAGTCGAAGCATTGACCGTCAATAACGAATACTTCTGTCTACAAAAAAAACTGGTGGTGATAAGGAGCTTCGAGAGAGAGCTTCGGCTTATGCCACCCGATGGAAAGCCTTCGATATCTTGATTGTTTGTGTGGCACAAGTTTCTGAGCTAGCAGTAGACGTCTCTGGCTGAGATTATTTATTCAATGATGAAATGCAATACTAGTATTAACTCCTTCAATTAAAACATGTAATTACGATTAGTGTTCGTAATACATTGGGCGTTCTTGGTATTACACACAACAACATAAGCCTTATTTTTATTTGTTTAATATCTTCGTAAACAATCCAATAAATAATAACTGTGGGAAAGCCATGCCAAGCCGGCCGGATCAACAGGAATGATAATATCGCCAAGATAATCGATGCTAAGTAACTCTTTTGCTGCTGTGTGAATGAGGTTTACCAATAATTCTAGCAGAGACTCTCAGAGGCCGTCAATGCAATTGTGAGTCTTGAGCAGGTGTCTATGCGTGGCGATGTAACTTACCATCAGGTGGCCAATCTGCTCGTTTAAAACATAAATACTTGAATCATTTATACCATAAAAAAATTTGAACATGTAAGCAACGGACTCAACTAACGATATTAATTTGTCATTCTTTATTATTGAATTTTCTGGGAAGAAATTTCTTCAAGTTTAAATTTATTGCATTCAAATACACAATTGATATTTTAATTTGTAATATGTAGGAATGATTAACAGTTATAATCCCGAAACTATTTAACAGAAAAAAGTGTCATCTCAAACAACATGATTCATAAATTTAGCAGTAGGTAATTAAAGCGAAATAAATAACAGCAAAGTTCTTTGCGTTTGAATTATTTATAGTTGGTTTATTCAGCATTCATTCATATCACTTATAACCTCAGTTTCCGATATTCAAAGCAAGTAAAACAAAACATTTTGTTTTAACAAAATGCTGGATTGAAATTAAATGAATTGAGAAGCGTGTTTAAATAAAGTATTTACTTAGATCTAGAAAAAACTGGGACTATAATTTGAATTTGTTATTAGAAACTCTCTCTCAGCGAACTTCGGTGTTCAAAGTCTGGTATCATCAGAAACTCAAAACATTATAGAGTCTTCTCCTCGTTTACAGCAAAAACTCTAATATCATTGTAGTTCTTCGCTTCATTAGAGCACTTTCATTTCCCGACTATCCATCACGATTTTTTTCTCAGAACCTAAAAACAAATTAATATCAAACAGAAAAACTACAGTAGTTACTAGGCTACATTAAGGTCTTACTACTATTACTGTTGGCAAGATCAAGCACATAACTAAAAGAATTTAGTGTTTAATATTATTTTGTTATTCTCAGTGTAATTAAAGATCCAACCATGTGTGTCACATAGCTAACTCTGTAATTGCATTCCCACATATCATCATCATCATCAACAGCCTTTAGTAGTCCACTGCTGGACATAAGCCTCTCCTTGGAAAGGAGGTTTTGGCCTACTATACCACGCTGGCCAGACGGGTTGGTATAGGGTTTGTGTCAGGTTTTCCTTCTCTCTGCAGTGCTGTTGTTCTGCGTAGTTTTCTCCCTTAGTCGGCTCTTACGACACCCACGGGATAATTAGGGGTGGTGACACTCTGTATTCTTAATCCATCACCACACGGATTGCCACAAATATTGATAGAAAAACTTATTCAACACCCCAAGTATTGTGTTCTTATGTTAGTAAGTAGTGTAGTGGAAGTATCGTTTGAGCCACGAAATTAGTTAATAATGTTCCGACATAATTTATCAAAATAAATTCATTATTTTAAATGCCCATCTTACAAAAAAAAATTCAATAATCTAATAATCTATTCGTGGGAGAGCTATGCTTTCGAACATAATGGGCCGGCTGGAACGGAGTAATTGGACGGCCTTACAGAAAACCGGTGTTAGGCAATTCTTTCTTTGCTTTTCACAAATGAGTTAGGTTATATGAGTCAGGAAAATAACCATCCCCACTCCCCCTGAATCTGAGGTAGGGCACTCAATATTATAAAAAAGCCATGTGGTGTCGTGGGACACCCGATAGGAACGAAGTTGTGACGATCGAGTAAAACTGATTCGACACGATTTTAATTATGAAATATATACATATATATATATATATGAAATATTATGAAAGCGGCTATTACCTACATATTTTTCAGTTGGTTTCTAATTAAAACAATTTATACATTGGTAAAATCTCCTTGAGAAATTATTTCCTATCTATTTGATACATGGCGCTGAATGACTGACATAAAAAGTGTCGTTACAACTTTTCGTGAGAAGTTTTTCCGTCTAGCCCCCTTTCACAACGCGCGATAAGGAACTTCGTTCCAAAAATATATATGTGTTATATTTTTTCTCGCTCCTTTTTATATAAAACAGTTACGGTTACTGAAATTAGTTCCTTCTTGCAACATCTCGATCACGTTATCTTACTTATCTTTCCAACAAAATCAATTAAATCAAAATCCGCCCCGGATGGACTATAGCGCTTATGGATGGAAACTACATGCACACAGATACATAACAATCTTCATTTGTGTCTGAGGATAAAAAAAGATCTCGCTGAATAACCTTAATATAAAATCTAATATTCGTTTCAACATAGAACCACTATACTAATGCTAGGTAGGAAGAAAAACTGTCCGCACAAGAATTTATTGAGATAATAAGAGCGCGATGTCATAATATTATGTTCACAGGTTTCTGTAGTACAATATCTTAGACACACAACTGCTATCGCTGGAAGTATACAACGCTATCTAAACTAAATAAGAATACTTCCGCTACATCAGTGCTAGTAAATGTAAGTTCTTGTTCACATTTTGCGCATATTTCTTATACTATGACTCAGTAGTACAGCCACAAAAGCCCGTTTGCTTGTTTACTTAGCCATAAACCACAGCGACAAAGGTACAAGGTTGAATCGACAGGTTAATACGTGTCTTACTCTAAACCTGTGTGCGTTACGTTTCTATATAGCGCCGACATGTATCAACGTGTATACGTTTAGACAGGATGTGTAGCACACA